TGGCTATTCAATTCAAAACAAGTAGCCTTCCCTAATTATTCTTTATATGAATCAGAACTCAATAGAATTTTTCTATCGAGTTCTTACTATTAGAACAGATGAGTCCATTAGCGATAGATAAAGCTTCTGATTTTGACACTTTTTGAGCTGTCAAATCCATGAGTTATGTTTTTTTTGTAATTACACCTGATTATGGGCTAAATTAGTTGTTTGAATCCAATCTAACTTTACAAAGAAGAGCCACTAAAAATAAAGAACAGGTGATTTTTGAACTCTTGATTTTTAGTTTGCATAAAAAAACAAAACTCAGAACTATAAATCATGAAGTTCTGATTCAGTAAAAATTGACATGAAATTCAGAAAATTTGGTCTAGACTAAAAATATATAAACGTTTAACTGATTAGATTTGTTTGGGTATAAACTTGCTTTGGAAAAAAAGTTTCCAAGTTTTGAAAATCAAGGCATTCTAAGATTCTGTGGCCCTATGTTTTTTAGTATTTGAATATATTCTAGTTCTGAAAAGTATAGCTTTGTCTAGACGGGATTACTGTAGATCACGCTACTTGCAAATCACGCGTCTTGCAAGTCTCTCTCTGTAAACATACTTCAAGGAGTATTCAAATTGTAATATGTTTTGATTCGGTTCCTCTTTGATCTATCCGACACCATCCGACACCAAAATAATTCTGTCAAAAATTTCTTAATTAAAAATGTTTTGAAAGTGAAAGTGACTTTTGACGTAGCAACAAAGCTTATCAGATAAGCATCTATTCTGACGATCTTGACGTAGTAGATAGCAACAGTTCCCCGAACTTCTCCCCCTAATCTCAGATCAAATCTACTCAGTTCAAATATTTCCATTCCAAAACTATTCTCTGTTTTTCTCTCTCTTTCTTATCTTCTCAAAATTAGAAAATAGATGATTCCACTCATTCCAAATTCCAGTGCACGAACTTATTGACAAAACGGAAGTTCTCCAAAAAAAGAAGTGCACTTCCGACAGCTTACTTTATGACTCTGTGATCGATGACGCAATGAAAATCCTCTTTGTTGCAAGAGCAACACCCCCTTCTTCATCGTCATCAGAGTCTTCTCAGAAGACATAGTTTTCGTTTCAGCGCGGTTTTTTGGAAACGTCGCCGCTCCCGTTCCCAAGCACCGGATAAACCAATTTCAGAATGAGAGAATATATTTTCGAATTTTCAGATTAGGAGTTGAATTTTCGATCTTTTGGTTCAAGAGATCTCTATTTCTTTTCTTCCCCTAGTAAACGGAAGCCCATTTTTTATCCAGGCTCCCTGTTCGCCGTTTCTACCTTTTTTTTGGGTTTTTTTGGGGTCGGGTTCCGGAAATTGAAAAAAAGATTGCACCCGAAAAGAAATAAATCTATCTTTAAAGCGCTCTTCTAGGCATTTTTCACAAACCGAAGCCACGTCTTATGCACAAAAGTGGGCGGGGCATCGTGTTGGAAGAAACCAAAAGGCTTCATGGCTAGCCTATTATTAGTCGCGGCCTCGGTTTCTCTGCTTCTCTCCGTCCATCTAGCTCAGTTATTCTTTTAGATCCAAGTCGGAGAGATCGAGCTTATTATTTCTAAAGGTCAAAGTCATTATTTCTAATATCTAATATCAATTTTGAAAAAACGTGAGTCGCCAAGTTTTACATTCTTAAATTTCTAATAGTTGCTTGACTGGAGTTTGAAAAATCTTATCATTTTGGTTCACGCTTCAAATAGTTCTGATTTGTGTAGGTACCTACAGTGCCGGCCACATATATTTGAAAAACGTATTTTCAGTTGATTTTGACCATTTCAGGAGCCATTAGCTCGGCTATCAAGTGCCCAATCACTTTGGAAATTTTTGAGGTTATAAAACAGACTTAGATTGAAAACTTTGCATTTCAGTTTTTTATTTATTTCTAGCTTTTCAGTTTTTTATTTATTTTTGAAGGGCACATGTTTTTTTACGTTTTCAGTTAAAAAAAAAAGAAAAAGAGGGTGACTTTTGGAAATTAGCACTAAACTGAGAAACTAAAAATTTTCAAAAATTTTGTTAATGCAAAGTTTTTCATCTAATAACCTTCAAAAATTTCAAAGTGATGGAACACTTGACAGCCAAGCTCCAGGCCCTTTAAATTGGTCAAAATGAACTGAAAAACATGTTTTCTCGTACATTGGGTTCGTATTTTGCCTAATGTCAGAAACTTTGAAGTCATATTCATTTTTAATTTATTCAAGTTGAGGCTTATCCGTTAATCATTTGTTGGTCAAACAAGTTAGTCTCGTTCGTATTTTTACTTTCCTTCGCTCCTTTTTTGTTGAATTGTTATCATTGCGTTTTTTTGCGTATTTTGTAAAGTTTTGTCACAAAAAAAACCCTCCTTCTCTCTCTATGACTCATCAATCTCAACTCGCGCAAAGACAGACAAAAAATATTATGAGAATCTGCGAGGTGTCAGTAGGGAGGGAGGAAAGTGTAGTAGAATAGGAGTACTGCAGAATAGACGCCCCGAACAACACAATACGCGCATACAATACCTATCCACAAATGGAAAGGTGGTAGATAGGGAGGGGGAGAGGGAGAGCGAGTGGTGTGGTGACGAGAGATTGATCGAGAGTGGAGACTGAGAATGGCGAACAGAAAGTAACATATGCAGCAAATACTGAAGAAGTCGAAAGTGATCGTCTCTGGCGTGAGAGTAGAGACAGAAATAGAGATAGAGCGAAGTGTACTGCGTAACTTTTGCCGTCGATTTTCTTATCACTTGTTTACGTACACAGTGCCCCCCGACAACCCAACATTTTTTGAACAGACACCAACCCGATTTCGGAGGTGCGTGTCTCTATCTCTCATCAACAAAGCAACTTCTTTTTTTAAAGTTTCCATTTACATTAGAATTTTTAAATTCAAACAGTTTGTGAGATTAATGAGGAATGGTCTAGTTAGATTACTGTATTTGACCTAAAGACAATAGATGGATTGAGAGTGCGAATAGGTAATACATAGTTTGCCAAATTTTTCCCTGGAGGAATTCCAAAGGCCAGATCTCCGGATTAGATAGTCTTAGACGTCCCCTCTATTCCACCTCATAAAATCTATAACGAGTTGCCAACGCAGACACAGTCATTCGAAGGAACAGTTTCGCAATCTTTTTATTTTCATTATTTCCTTAACTTATCTTTTTTTTTTCAAAAAGTCTGACCATCGATGGTTTCGCACGAAAATACTTTACTCATGTGTGTTTTGCGTGTGGTCTCTGCATTCCCGAATTTTGGAAATTTCGCAACTTTTCATGATGACTTATATAATGCAGACTGTTCAGTTGCTGTTGCACATAATTTTTTCGAAGTCTTTTCTTTTTTATAAATTTCCACCAATTATTTCTTTTCCCATTCCCCCATTCCATCGGACCAACTTGACTAAAACAATACATTTCAAGCCGGTCCTCTATTTTCTCAATTCTCCCTTTTCCCCCATTCTCCTATTTTTCTATCGTACGACTTCCACCCATTTCCCTTAATAAATCAGCTCCGTTTACTTTTATTACGCTTCTCGTGAAGTCGAATCAAGTTCTAAAGAGAGAAGACAATAAAAAAGGATAGAATGGGAAAATGAAAGGTTCGCTTTCATTTCGCTTGCAAAAAAGGGCGAGAAAGTGAGAAGTAAGGAGAGGGCGGAATGAGAAATGAGCAATTTGAATTCGAAATGAATGAGGGGACCAACTTTTTCTTCTTTTTCTCTGAACTTGGGAATTGAAAATGAGTCAAAAAAGAAAAAAGAGAAAAAAGTTTTTATGGAGCCCTCCCTTTTTAATACAGCTCAAATGGAAGAGAGCTCATTTTAAAACGTTCAAATAAACTTTTATGACATCCAAATCCTAATGGGCCCCTCTTCTCTTTTCTCTGAATGAGGGTATACGGTAGTTTTGCCCTTTTCTAGCACTGCTAGCTCTGAGAATGGGCGGCCCATGGAATGGGTGTGCATAGATAATGGATGCCGCACATCTCACAAAATGCTTGTCGGATTTTCTGTTAAGTACTAAAAAAGTCTAGTCTGAATCAGTTCTCGTGACAAACTTCAGTGTATAATCATCCTCAAAAAAAATATTCTGCGCAGAAATAATTTCTAGTTTCTCAAAATCAGCCGAAAAACAAAAGACATGGAGCCTATGTTTAATGATTCACACTTTTTTTTGTTTCTGAATGACTCAACTATTCATGGCTCCTCTTCTTTTTCACTCCTTCTTTTTTTGTCAATTTTCTAGTTTTTTTTCTTTTTTCTTCCTTCACGGACCAAAAAAAGCTTGGAGAATCTCTTGTTTGTTCAGGTTTCCAATGACTACCTTCCGAAAAACTATAAACCGTTTTTTTTTCTTTGGCTTTAGCTACCAGGAGCAACGGACCTCGTCTTCTTAGTTTTTCACATTAAATTTCACAAAAATAAGGAACGGGCCCTTCTTTTCTTGCTTTTTGGCTACATGCAACCTTCTAAATTGCCTTCAGTAATTCACCTCTCTCCTCTCACTCTTTCCTTTTTTTTTCTTTTTTCTCTCTCATTTTTTTCACCTCCTTGGGCATTCTAAGTCGTACAAAACTTTTTTGCCTAATCTTAGCACCTTATGAATTCAAAATGTATAGCCACACTCTGGAAAATCGCATCTAGAAAATCAGTCAAGAAGAAAGCTTCAGGGATGGATTTGAGATTGATGGATAATTGTCATGCCAAGCTCGAAAAAGCAATTTTAGACTTCCTAAAGTCGCGAGAACCATCCAATTTACATTTAAATTCGAAAAGATTGAGATTGACAACTCCCCATTTTCACATCCTTTTTTAACCAAAAATAAGACCTCACCATTTCTTGCTCTCGACTCCGCCTGTTTCGTTTCTCCCATTTTTTCCGAATCTTCATCATTTTTGTTTTTCAGACGATCAGTGGTCGGCGTATTCTGAAATATATGTAGATTCGAGTAGGACGGTCGTCTCCACCAGAAACTTACATCATGGACCGTAAAGGTAAGTGGTGTTGAATCAAGTGTCATACTAATCATTCAACAGTTGTTCTAGGACGTGAACGCAAGTTTCCTGGCATGAAAATCGTGATGCCACAGCCGGTCGAGACGCCAACAATGAATCTGGAAGACAGATGTCTTATCAAGTAAGTAATACGCGTGTCGGCGGCGCGGAGAAATAGGAACGGGCGGAACGACGCGGATTACATAAGATTTGAGAGTGATTTTGATTGATTCAGGCTGACAAACGAATCCGAGGAGATTGAGATTGCCGCCACTGACCTAATCGTCCTCGAGGAACTTGGTAAAGGAGGTTACGGGATTGTGGAGAAGATGCAGCACAGACAAAGTGGACTTATCATGGCAGTGAAGGTGAGAATTAGGAGAGGTTCTAGAGAATATTCGAAAAAGAACACCCTGGAGCCTAAAAAGTGGAAAATGTTGAACCCCCACAGATTTGGAAAGAAGTTTTTCTTTTAGTGAATGGTAAATAGTTTCTCTGGTTTGAACTTCAGAAGTTGAAGTAACAGTATCGGGACCACCGGTTCAGAAACCGGCACATAATTCGGAGGGTACAACGATTCGCGGGTACAAGAGGGTAAAAAGTGATTTAGGTGTACAAAATCCTCAATTTGGGGTACAAGTTTTGCCTTTTTCAGGTATTTTGTACCCCCGAGTTGAGGATTTTTGACCACTGAATCGTTTTTTTCCCCCAATAACCGCAAAATTTTCGTACTCTCCGAATTATATGCCTCAGAATGTTCCAGACTTTGGTTGAGAATGTTCCAGGCTTTGAAAAACCATAATCTAGGACTTTTTTGACTAAATGATCAATTGATAAGTTCGACACTACACTTAAGGTATACTGTAGCAGATCCCGACTGATTAGTCAGCCCCGGTGACTTCAACAGAGGGACTACATAAAAAAGCTGCACATCGGACACTCATGAGATAATCATTCGTTTAAATCTCTCTTAAGATATTCTATCCTAAATCAGTTTTTACTTCCTGTGCTCAAAGAACCAGGGCCCAAAAAATCTGCAAAGCACGAATTCTATAGACTGTTCAATATAATTACCGCACGCCTTTCAAACCAATAATTGAGTTTTTTGGTGCATTGAAACAAAAGCTGAGCCCGCACAAAAAAGTGCAGCCTAGAGTAATTTGGTCAAATGGGGCAGAAGCATCAGACAAAGGATAAAATAACCCAGAGATAGAAAAATAGTTATACATCCGGGGTTCAGAGGAATTGAACGGAAAGGAAGTGTTGTTACCAAGGGCAACAAGAAAGGAAGATGAGTAAAAACTTATGGGGAGGCGAGAATCAATATGCTAACGTTTTGGGTTGAGAGAGAGAGAGAAAGAAGGAAAAGAATAGGGAACCCGCTGGCTTATCACGAGAAGGTGTGCATAAAACGGAATGAAGGGTTTTTTCACATCTCACCTTTTCTACGGCGTACGACCTCCCACTGATTGGTTTTTTGGCGGTCGGGGGGGGGGGGGGGCGCCCTCAATATGGCGTTGAGTATAGTTTCAAGGAAAAAAGAATGAAAAAAAGAGAAGAAAGTGAATTATGAAGGTGGCGATGTGAGAATCTGGCAGCAAGTGTCAGAAGAGTGGATTGATTCTTGGACAGATTAAATGATGCAAACGCGTATAAATTTATTTTCTTTCTTCAAATAGTCAAAGAGATTTGTTAGTTTCTAGGGAAATCCGTTTTCTGATCACTTTCTATATCTGGAGGGTTTATACAATCGCTTGACTGGTTCTGATTCATGAATTCAAAATAGGTTATGAATAACCTACATAAACACTTTTTGAAAATTTAGAACCCGCTCGTCGGTTGCAGCAGAACAAATTTTAGTTGTATTACCTAAAATCGCGTTAATGCAAGAACAACCACTTTTGAAAACGACATTTCTGCTTTAGGACGTTCCAGAACACGAAGTTTTTCAAAAACCTAAAATTTAGTGAAATTTCGCATTTCAGACAAGTTCTCAAAAACCATTTTTGGCGGAAAATTTCGAAAATTGAAGAACTTTTTAAAATGAGTATTGAAAATCTGAAATTTCATATGATTCTCGTTATGATACAATGAATTTCAAATCCTGAAACTTTCTAGAAGTTGAGAAAGGTGTCATCGAAAGTTGCTGTTTTGCAGAGAAACAGGAGTTTTTTTTACTGAAAGTGATATAATTCAAACTGGTATAAACTGATATAACTCAGCTAAAACTGACGAGCGAATTCTCGAATTCTCGAAAATAGCCGAATTGGGTATTGTCAACATATCCTGTAATTTACATCAAAATCTGGATTTACAATTTGTTGAAGTTCTCTTGTAAGCGAAATATTTTAATATAATAAAAATGTCATCGAAGGATGATGCTAAAAAGAAGAAAAGTGTTTTTAATGGGAAGTAAGCACAAAGTTGATAATGATGCATGAGGAAGAGAGTTCACAATGACTTCAGGACCGTTTCTTATCAGCCGACGCTAAATAAAAAGAAAGATGAGTAACGCGTCTAGAAATTTGGGGCAGAGATCGGAAATAAATAATCTATGAGAAAATTATAATCAAAAATAAATTCCTGAAAAACGTACCTCTCAAACAATCCTTCCAATTACAGCGTATCAAATCATCCATCAACGATCAGTCTCAAAAGCAGATGCTCAACGAGCTCGACGCGTGCAGAAGAAGTGATTGCTGTCCGCAGATGGTTCGATTCTATGGTGCAATGTTCCGCGAGGGAGACGTTTGGATTTGTATGGAAGTCATGGACACGTCACTCGACAAATTCTATCGTCACGCTTACAAGATTGGAAAGCACATTCCGGAACCATTCATCGGAAAGATGGCTCTTTCTGTGATCGAGGGATTGAATTTCATGAAGGAGCAATTGAATTTGATTCACCGTGATGTGAAACCATCGAACATCTTGCTCAATCGTCATGGACAAGTCAAAATTTGCGATTTCGGAATTTCGGGTCACTTGACAAACAGCTTGGCAAAGGTAAGACATCATAAGACTAGGGAGGAGAATGAATAGAAAAATTGAATAATGTATTCGAAAATATTGCAGTCTAGTCAGTTGAGAGAGACAGATGGAGGGAGGAAGACAGAACAATTTCTCACCCTAAAATCCAATTGGAATTTTTTTCTCAAAAAACGACGTCATTCTATTTGTCCAGAATGATGTCAAATCGTCCCACAGTCAATCGAACCATTTCGCAACACACGTGTCACATTTCGCAATCAAATCAATCGATATCGTTTTCAGACTGTTCAAGCCGGATGCAAGCCATATATGCCACCAGAGAGAATCGACGGCGAGACGAAAACTGCATATGACGTCAGAGCCGACGTGTGGAGTCTTGGAATTACCATCATCGAGATTGCTGTAGGAACTCATCCATACGCCAACTGGAAGACACCATTTGAACAGTTGAAGCAAGTCGTCAAGGAGCCACCACCAAAGCTTCCATCGGAATCTGGATTTAGTGCCGATTGTCAATTCTTCGTCAAGCGATGGTAAGAACGAGAAGAAGAGAGAGAGAGTATTGAAATAACCGAAATATATTTGCAGTCTTGAGAAGAACTATGCTGACCGTCCAAAGTATCCAGAGCTCCTAGCTATGCCGTTCATGGAGATGGCTAGAAACGAGAAACAATTCAGCATGGCTCGTTTCATTAACGAGGTAAGAAATAAGAGAATAAGGTAGTATTGAATTTGGAAAGTCGAGTGCTTTGGGAAGAAATTTGAAAAGGATGAAGTCAAAAACTTCCTAGCAACTGCGCACTTATTCTGACAAGTGAGAAATGAAGCGGAGAGGGGTTGAAAGATGATGGCGCACTAGATCAGGAAGTCAATGGAAAAGGGCCCGCCCACCCTTAAAACCTATGCCATCTGCTTCAAAAGGGCTCACTTTCATTTGATTAAAATGAAGACGGGTTTTTTATGGATGAGGGCGGCCATCTGCCTTTCGAAACCTCCGTTTTTTGACAATTGAACATGAAGATGCACACACGCACATAAATTTATCATGCGGGCATTTGAGAAATGAAACAGAGGGTTAATTAAACTTGAACAGAGGGTTAATTAAATTTTTTTAAAAATTGGGTGGTAAGATTAATTGAGACCAGGATTGGTCGGATAAAAGTTTTCCGAGAATCGGATACATGAATCTTTATCCGGATTTTTCTGGATAGTCGGATATTTGACTTTTTCTTCGAAATAATTTTTCGGAAAATCGGATATCCGATTTTTTCTCCGTCTTTTTTTTTGGATAATTTCAGAGTATTTCGGATAAAAAAGTTTTTGGACTTCACTTAAGGCTACTCACTCAAAAACACAGTTTTTAAATGAAAATCAGAATTAATAACAAGAAGAAGTAGGAAATTAACATCTGTTAGAAGACTAAAATCTGTTAGAATACTAATTTTTGGTTTGTTCAGTACTAGGAAATTTTTGTCACTGTCGGAGAAATTCTTCAAAATTCTAAGAGTTTATCCGGAAAAATACTCGGGGAATTCTTCTATTATCTGGAAATTATCCGAAAAAATAGTGCCGGATGATTTCTCCGAAACCATCCGAAAAACTGGGATAATCGAATATCCGATTATTCGACCGACCAAGCCTGATGGACGCGCTTTCAGAAAAATGTGCGTATTTTTAAAAGTAAGAAATTATGAATAGTGTGAGGCTAGAAAAAAAAAGTTTGGCTGTTCTAGCATGTGTTTGAAAACAGGCATGAGCTGACGTGTTCGTGCAAGTCACTCGGGAGAGGATAACCGCGCGCAAAAAATTTCCATGAGAAGTGCTCGGCGGCGACGACGACCCACATGATGAAAAAGAGAAGAAGGCGCCAAGCGCTTTTGTTTAGAGCACAACCTCTGCACATTAATCAATCAATCTTTGTATTCTTTGCAGATCCTCGACACTCCAATGCGACGATAATCATCATGTGTACTAGGCTTATACGACACGTCTCGAATCGAGAATAGCACCTCTTTTGTATGCCATTGTTGTCGAAGGACAATCGTCGAAATGATCATCGAGAATTTATCATTGTGGGGTATCAACCCAACTCATCATTTTTTTGTGAAATATTGAATACTCATATGCTCCCTATGTCTGTATCGGATACCATATTTTTTCTAATAGGCTAGACACTTTCATGTCAATAATTTCAATTACCAGAGATATCGAGCAATTTGTCAACTGACAGTGTTAAACAAACATTTTAAAGCACGGGACTAGTTAGCAATTGTTTAAATCTCTTTTGAAGTCAATGACATCCAATTGTGGAGATCTGTTGAAGAAAATGCTGTACTTCTGGCAGGCTATCTCTCTTTTTTCTTTTTTTTTCTCCTGCTTCTGGTAATATATTCCTATCTGCTTGATTGACTTTTCTTTCTGCAAGGAATTTCTTTTCTATCGCTTTGTCTTCATTTTCGTGTTCTTCTCCAACTAGTAGTTATCCCCAATCATCGGTGTTTCTCTCTCTCTCTCTCTCTCTCTCTCTCTCTCTCTCTCTCTTTTCCAGCTTCCCGACGTAGCTCCTTTCTAGAGTCTGTGATCCATTGGTAGAAACGGCAGCCTGCTACGCTATCAATCTCCTATGAAGAGTTGATTGAGCAGTGAGCAATATCCCGTTATTGGTTGTCGTTCAGACTGTTTTAGTATTCATTCCCCATACTAGCCTTCATTATCCAACATCCGAAAATAATCCAAAAATGTTCTTTTAATTTCGTCCACCTCGATTGATTGCATATACCGTGCCATTTGAAAAAAACGTAACTCTCCCTTACTTAATCCGCTTTTCCACCAACTGATTTGATTATATCCACTCCCTCCTTCAGCATTTTTCTGTCCCCAATGAATAAATTGATGTGCTATAGAGAGGAACAAAAAACAATCATCAACGGCTGCACTTAATCAATTTCTCTCTTTTTCTCTCCCCCCCCCCCCCATCTCTCTGGTTTTATGCGCTTATTCATTTTATAACCGTTCTTGCCCAGAAAATCAGCTTTTCTTTTTTTTTATAATTTTCCGCACCACCGTCTCTCGCTTCCGGACTCAAACATACTTCGTCTTCTTCTTCTGTTATGATCCCAACCATCAACCGTTTTCTTCCTATGGGTCCATATCAATGATATGCGTCTCTGTCTCTCTTATATTTTTTTCGGTAAATGTTTTTTCGAGTAAAAATTTGTTTGAAAGAAAAAGTTTTTTCAATGGATTTTTCTGGAATACGACAGCGGAAAATTTTTATTATTGCCCTAATTTTAATACAATAATTCTCATTTTCAGGTAGTTTAAACCCCTACAATTGCTGATGGAACTACAGCCATACATCTGATTCTATTCGATCGACACCTGACTTGACTGAATTGACTTTATCTGTCGAAAATGAGATTTTTTTCTTGTGATGGTTCTAAATTTACAAATATGTATCCCGGAAAATGATCATAAGCGACGTGTGAACGGAAAAAAGCACATTGAAGGCTCAATGGAAGAAATCCAGCGCGTGCAATAGTACAAAGTGTACATGAATTCGTCAAGTTTTCTTCAACTGAATCTGAGAACTCTGTCTGATTTTGGCATCAATATGAATAAGATTCAGAATGCTTTGTGATGTGTTGGAAAAAATAAGTTTATTTTCAACACAAATTTAATTGTCCCATGGAGGAGCAATTCCATAGCTATAGGCATATAGTGGTGATCAATCCAGAAGAGCTCATAAGTATCACAATCGTAGAAATGGTTGCAATATTTCCGGGGAATGCCGAACCAGCCAGGAATAATTCAGAAAACAGGAAGACAAGAAGAATGACATAGAAAGTTTTTATTTCTTCAAAGGGACTATTTCAGGAATACCTTGAAATTTTTGAAATCTGTGTAGGTGGGGAAACGGAAACATATCAATTTTTGATGTGGTGGGCGAGCTATAAATTTTTGGTCGCTGGTTTAAACAACCAAAAAGATATCAAAAATCAGATTTCAATCAACATCCCGAGAAAGAATGATTCCTTTAGTTGATATAATCATCTTCAGGGAAACTGATCGTTTTCGAACCATCAGAAGACGTTAGTGAGGTATAATGAGAGAATCGCCATTGAGTCTTACATTCGAGTTGCCTAGTTGACACATTGTTTACGATCATTTTCAGTAAAATTGACATATTTTGAACCATAGAAGAGTGTTAAAAAATACGATTTTAATCAAAAATCGAAGTGATGACTGACTTTAGTAACTGCATTCGCTGAGAATGAGAACCAATTTGTGAGGACCTCGTCATAGAGTTTCAAACCAAGTTTTTCCTAGTGTCATATTGCTTACAGAAAAAAAGTTGGTTTATTTGAAGACAACAATTGGATATAGAAAGCCTTCCGGTCGAAAATTGAATCAGAAATAGCCTTATTTAGTCAAAGAAAACCAAAAAGTCAATAATTAAGTACTTTGTCGGAATAAGTGAGGTATTCTTAGAATCTCTGCGTTTCGTTTTGATTCAGAGTTTTCCTGTTTTGTTTGCAGCTATTTTTAACCAATACCGCTTTTGTATTAGGTTGAAAGAAAGTTTCTTCCTTTTTGACAAGGTTGTTTTTGAGGCTCGATTCTAAATGGCTTTCTAAATGTTTTACAAGGCCAAACTTTTTTTTGTTGGAAAGCTGTAATTAGTGTTCATTACACTGTAAATTTTTTCAATCATACCTCACTACGTATTGGAGGAATGACGGTTCTTTCAAACGTTATCCAACTGCACATACGCAACATGATAATATTTTCATTTTTATTTCGTCTTCAAACACCGGGTATTTGCAAGAAATTTGTGAGTGTATATAAGGAACATGTTCGGTCATTGCCTACAATCTGCTTCTAGTTCGAAAAGTTCCGCCTGGGGGAGTTCAGTTTGAAAGATGGCAACGGCCTAGTCAGTCAGATCTCGATCAATTGCTAAGAGTCGCGAACGCGGATCTATTTCAAACCACTTGTAAAATGTCAAAGGCATTATCCGTTAGTTCACCATGTATCGTGAACAGATTGAAATCTCTTGGCAAAATTAAAAATTGGGTCGATTCATACCCCTTCTTTTGAAGGACTATGATATGGATCGCCATGTCGACAGAGCAGGTTTCTCCCATCATTTCTTTGCACGTTCAGTTGGCTGGTGAATCTAATTACCGTAGATGAGAAATGGATAAGTTACTCTATCAACGTGCGGAAGAGTCAGTTGATTGACAAAGAAGAGCTAGTCCCAGAAGTTCCGAAACATAAAGTTCACGTTAAAGAGGGGTAACTATGTGTTTGGTGGTCTGCCAAAGGAATAGAGACTGGGAACTTTTATATCATTATAACATATACCTTGTATAATTTCTAATTATAGAAAGTAAATCGTGGCAGCTAAATCAAAACGAGGAGAAAAAACCAAGGTTCACTTCTAGCGCGACAATGCAAGATCGCCCGTGATTAGAGCAGCCAAAAACTCATGCCGTTCGTCTGAAATAATTTTTTGCGCTCATCGTATTCTCCGGACCATGCTCTTTTGGATGAATGGTTGTTTGGGGCTGTTCAACGTAATCTTGATAGAAAAGACGGCTCTTTCCGGGAAGAACGGTCCCAAAACGGGACCGCCGGTGCCATCATGGGACCATTGGTCCCAAGGATTGCGACAATGGTCCTAATGTTTCGACAACGGTCCCACTGTTCCGATAACGGGCCCAATGTCCCGAGAACGGTCCCACCGTTTCGACAACGTTCCCAAGGGTACGACAACGGTCCCAGACAGGCTTAATCTGGAAACCCTATTCTCGAAATACAGAAAAAACCATACTTGTAGAAAAGATCGCCGGCCCGCGGGCCGGACCATGGCCGGGCTGAGATTTTTCTGAAAGCGGGCCGGGCCGGGCCGGAAAAAAATTACACATGGCCGGAGAGCAAATCATCATTTTTCAAGATGGCTTTTCTCTTTAATAAATTAAAATTCACACTAGAGGACGATTCTGTCGAAGAAAAAAACTGTTTTGAGGTCGTTTTTAGAAAAAAATTTCATCCTTGGCTTAATGAAGTTTCTTTTTTTGCTAAAAACTCAATTAAATTTACTTTTTCGGATGGTTGTATGCATTTGGATTAATATTTGTGCTATTGAAAATATATTGGCACATTTGAAATGTAACATTTCCGAAAAGTTGTCCTAGACGGCCCGGTCATTCACATGTATGGAAAAAACGGAGTGGTCTTTTAAAAATCCAGTAGAAAATTTTAACATTTTACATGCACTTGGGAATTGCAGTACTTTTTGAAAGGAATTTTTCACAAAATATTACGTTTTTTGTATTGTACGCTTAGGCCAAATCGTATTTTTTCCGGCACTGTTGCAAACAGGGCGCTTCAGCTTAAGCCTATAATTATGAACCAAATACACCCTGAAAAAATTCCAGTAAAAAAGTCCTAGAATTTTCAATTATCAGCAAAATTTTCGTTTTGTTGCTGAAATTTGTTGAAACAAAAATTACAATTTTCGATGTTTCCAATAGGGTTTCAAGATTAAGCCTGGTTGGGACCGTTGTTGGAACGTTGGGACCGTTGTCGGAACGTTGGAACCGTTGTCGGAACAATGAAACCGTTGTCGCAATTCGTTGGGACCGGCGGTCTGAATTCGTTGGGACCGCTTTGCGACCGTTCTTCCCGAAAAGAGCCGAAAAGACTTCGAGTGAAAAGATGACACAAAAAAGGAGTCGCTCCCCTTTTCGCAGCCCTCGTCGTCCTGAGCGGATGGAATCAAGAAATTACCGGAGCGTTACCAGACAGCTATGAATGCTTATGGACGTTACTTTCATTGACCTTGCCCCCTCAGCTTTGAGGAAAATTCTATCAAAAATTTTGCCAAAAAAGGAAGAAACTTTCTTATCAACCTAATATTAGGTTGGCGGGAAAGTCTTTGTCACTCTGTTTGTTTAATCACTTTTCTCGTATATGGAGGCTGTGTATGATATCGACTCTAGTGAATAACAAGGTGATAAGAACCTTCCATATAAACAAGTCCCCATTTCCTTCCCTGCTCCTCATCTGTAATTGAAACGATATGTTTGTTCCCACTGCTATTCACATCAGACATGTTTTGATTTACCTCTTCCTATCTCACACCACGATGAAGGATTCGGAAACTTTCTTGAAGAATGTGTACAACACACATGCCCCTCACTACAATACTATTCGCAATTGGTTCCATCGTTTCGAAAAAGATGACTTCTCGCTCGATGAAAAGGATCGCTCTGGGAGACCCCGTGAGTTGGATTTGGACAAGCTGAAGCACGCATTGCAATCGGATCCATTTCAATCTAGCCGTGAACTAGCTGTCACATTCGGAGTTCACCATAGCACAGTCCTTGAAGGTTTGAAGTCTCTTGGAATGAGAAAACTTTTTGGTCGATTCATACGTCATCACCTGACTCAAGCCAACCTTGACCGCCGAGTCGACGATTCGATTACTCTTCTCACTCTCCACGCGGGCGATCGATGGCTGGACCGGCTAATAACCGGAGATGAGAAGTGGGTCTTCTACGATAATCACCACAGGAAATCCCAGTGGGTTGGAGAAGGAGAGAGCCCACAGGATGTCCCCAAACCCGACCTTCATCCGAAAAAAGTTATGCTCTCTGTGTGGTGGGGAGTGGACGGCCCCATCTACTGGGAACTTCTGCCCGAGGGCAAAACAATAACTGGAGACCTCTACACTACTCAACTACGAAACCTCAAGAAAGCAGTCGACCGTTCGGCCCTGAAAGACAAGAAAGTGTACTATCAACATGATAACGCTCGCCCACATGTTTCGAAACAAGTGAAGCAGGAGCTGATGGGATATGGATGGAATGTTCTCCCTCACCCCCCGTATTCTCCTGATCTTGCTCCTTCCGACTATTGGTTATTTGGCGATATGACACGTGCCTTCGAAGGAAGAAGCTTCAATTCCCGTGGAGCGGTCGAAGCGGCACTCAAACAATACTTTGCCTCACGCCCGGCTGGATTCTACCGCAATGGAATCCATAAATTGAGGGAACGTTGGAGACATGTTGTTGATAATGATGGACAATATAATTAATTATTCGGTTATTTTTTCTTTGAGAAATAAACTATTGAAAAAGTGACAAAGACTTTCCCGCCAACCTAATACCATCAGATGTGGAAAGCTGGATTTCTTTTGAAACGGAATTTTATTTTTGGATCCGTTCAGTGCATGACAACGACCTGCATTATGAAAAAGCTCTCTACATTCAAAGAGCTCTCTAAATTCAATGGTTTGAAAGCTGCCAACGGAGAACGACCGAGAAGATAACCGAGAAGACTTTCAAAAAAGATAACGACTGTTTTCAAGGTATTTTGTTTCAATTGTTTTTACAAACAACAAGAACACATGAAACGATTTATTCTTGATTTCGGACAAGTGATTTTCATCAGCATAGAAGGCAAAAATTGACAAGGAAACCAAAAACCGGGAAAGAAGAATAACATAAGAAAGGGGGAACATTGAATGAATAGTGAACAAAAAAGAGAGGATCATTAGATCATCTTGGTGAAGCTGAAACTTGGAATCATCGAATCAAGCAGTTGCTCGCCGGCCTTCGCTTTGATCGAAAAATTGCGGGCGGCAAACTCCTTGTAGCTGAAAGGCCAGTTGCAACGGTCGGTGAGGCAGAGACAGACATACATGTTGTACTCCTCTTCGAACGACACCATTTTCTAAAAAAAGAATGATTGAAAAGTTTTCGATTGCTAAAAAATATTCTCATGACATTTTAAATATTTGTTTATTTCTAACTTCACTCAAAAATGTTATACTCACTTCTAATCGACAATCCTCTCCATTTTCTGTGTTCCAAACCTTGGCAGTGGAGTTCGTATGGATGTAGTGTCCGCCGAGGGTCACGGTTCTCTCCTCGGGGACGTAGAAGCTCCAACAGAACTTCTGATGGTGGATGACGTCCACCATATCTATATATCTGTCCTTCTTGTAGCAAGTCAAGCAGAGGGCTGACGAAGCGAGAAAGATGGTCAGAAGAAGCTTGACACATCTTGAGAAGGCGAACATCTTGAGAAGGCGAAGAGAGAAGGGGAAGGTCAAGGAGAGAAGGAGGTAGGGGGAAGGTAGAGGTAGGCGACAAAGTCTGTCAGGAGAACGACAGAAGAATGAAGAAAAACTGACAACGGGTCCCTTTTATAGACATAAGCTCCACCTACTTCCAGATCCGCTCCAACCTTAGTACTGGCTCCGCCCATTTTCAGAGCCAGAATACACGTTTTGTGCCGAGAACAAAATAAGATCAAGAAATAAATTAGAAGAGATCAACTGAAAACGACTGATAATTGATAAAAAATCATGGTATTCAGTAAACAAGAAGCCATACAGAAATGCATCTGAAATTACCAGGAAATAGTGAAGTATATCTTCTGAAACTTGTTCGACACAACAAGAAAAAATAGAACTTTTGGAATATACTTCTTCTGAAATTTTGAAACTAATGAAACTGTCCGAGGCCCATTTTTTGCAAAGATTAATACGGACTACTTTTTATGGTAGATATTTCAAATTTTCCAAAAAAAATGTTTTTGGTTCCTGAATTACCGATGCCAATGTTATTAAGTTATATGCAAGTTTCATAATTCGAAACTAATGAAACTGGAAAATTTTCCACAAAGCAGCAAAAGTTTGCTCAATTTTCTAAATCTACCGTACCTGTTTATAAAACATACAAAAACATATCTTTCCGTTGATTTTCGGTTATTTTGACAATTTTCACGAGCTGGGATGTCAAGATTCCGATAACTTGGAAAGTTTTGAACGGGATGAAACAGATTTAGTTCATCTATAAAGTTTGATTTTTTAATAACTGCACATCTCTTCAGATCTCGTTATCATATCTCATTGCGCGATTTCTATTCACGATTACTCTTTGATGAATTCTTATTGTGCCTGCTATCTTCTTCACATCCCGACAGCGAGCAACATACGTGACAAAAATCTGATCGGTTTTTTTCCGACACCAAATTTCACCTGCTCAACAGATATTTTTGGCTTATTTAAGATATGGATTAGAAGATCAGAGAATGTATCTGCGTGATTTTTTGTTAGATTTCCCGTTTGTCACGGATGCCAATTTTGGAGCCGAATGAGCACCATACATCTGCCATCAAAATGATAAGAAAACATAATAAACGTTAAAGAAGGATTCGTTGTGTTTTGTGGATGTTTGATTGAGGCCGTATTCTAATAAAGAGACCATGTACAAAGTCTCCTGGACGTTTTAGAGCCCGACGTTTTAGAACCACAACGTTTCAGAACTCGTCACTTCGGAACCCGACGTTTCAGAACTCAACTTTTCAGAATGTCTCTGCATTTTTGCGTAGTGGGTTTTGCACACAAAATGAATACTGCTCTTTCAAATGTGATGTTTTTCTGTTTTTTTCATTCGTTTTCGTCTACCGTACTTATCTAATAGAGTAGCCAGCAATTCTATCTCAAACATCACTAACATTCTCTAACATCACAAACTAAGTTGCCTGAAATAAATCTCATTGATAGTTATGACCTTCAAGTACACAGAAAGTTTCCTATATTTCCCACCTGTTGTGATATTTGAATTTAATCAGAAAAGTTTTTCTATATGTTGTTCAACATTGATCTCTTTTTTGTTCTACGTCGACCCCATTTCGATTCATCAATCACCGAAAATTCACGACATAGGAAAACGGCAAAGCTATGATCATCCCAAAAACCTCCCAGTGCGTTCAACAATTTTCGCCGAGTGTCCGTATTTGTGGAACTCGATCCTGAAACCGAAAAAAAATTTGTGTTGACATTTTTCATCTACACAGAACTCTAGAAAATGTACTCTATTTACCTTAGAGATCAGAACATTGTTGACGAGTTACTACAAAATTTTGCAAATTCAGCTCAGAAAGTGTAATAACAACGGATGTCACGTTTTTTTCGACTTTGGAGCAAACTAAAACCATCAGCCATCAAAAATTTTGGATGTTTAAAAAATATATGTTCTCATCTTTAGACAGCGCAGGCGATATTCAGCAGTTTTGCTGTAATTTGTTTCTCAATACTCCAGAATTGTTAGTTATTCTAGTTATCCGCGCTGTGGTATTAAAATTATTGTACATGTTTTCTCTATTAGAATACAACCTGAAAAACAAAAACTCAAACATTCATAAAACACATCGAATTCTTTTTTGAAGATTTATCAGCTTACTTATCATTTTGAAGGCAGATGTATGGTGCTCATTCGGCTCCGAAATTGGCATCCGTGACAAACGAGAAACCCAACAACAAATCGTGCAGATCAGATCTTCTAATCCATATCGCAAAATACGCCAAAATATCTCTTGAGCAGGTGAAGTTTATTGTCAGAAAAGAGAAGAAAAAATATCAGATTTTGCCACGTGTGTAACTTGCTGCCGGGTTGTGCAAAAAAGAAAAAGCAGACACGCTTTTTTGTGATGAAATCCAAGTATTTCCTGTTGAAATCGGGGTTGTCTCAAATCATACGCATTCAGTCCATTCGGATAGACCAGGTCGCCGAAATAACCAAAAACAGCAATAATGACCAGAACGAGAATCTCCAGAAGACATTGATTTTGATGGGATACTGTTCAAGACCCGCTTAAGAGCAGAAAATTGCTAGTTTTGGGCCAATCAAAGCAGATTCTGGCAAAAAAAGAATTGAAATATTTTCGATGGATGTGAAACTAGCTTCCGTGAATCTGAAAAAAAATTTAGCTTTTCAATTTTTCAACTTATAGATCGTCAAATGCAGTTTGAGTCTGTGTTCCTAGATTCGGAAACGTCGCAAGTTATCAAAATCCAAAATTTTCTCTGCGTCTCTTTGCTTGCATGCGATTAGAGACAGGGGCCGTGGACGGGTGGCCGAGGATTCGAGGACTCCGTGTAGTCTTCGTGGACAAGTGGGGACCTTATATATTTGTGTACAATTCCAGACAGTTTTCAGATGAATACGGATTAAAATCGAATAAATTTTGGACTTTTTGGCACTGTGTGTCGTCATAAAAATTCTTGTTTGCAAATGTTGACTGATGAGATTGCCGTAGAGGGGAAAGATTTTTGAGTTGATTTTCAGGCATTCCTGACGGAATTCGCCGGATTCTTGCCGTGAAACTTTGTTAAAAGATGAAGAAGCTCGATCACTTCACTGTCATCGTCCAGATAGTTTTTTGCAGACATGCATAAATCAATTCTTTCTTGACAACAACGAGGCGCTGATGAAGAAGTTCGGTCATCTTTCAAATTTGAAGGAATTCCCCAACAAAGAGGAGTTACGGAGAATCAAATAACTTATACCAAAACGAGATGACAAACTGACACTTGTGATTTGTGCAAAATCTCATTTTATCTGGAAAAAATCAGCGATTTTTGGAGGTGCCACAAAAACCGTAATTATCGATTCTGTGACTAGTTTGATACAACAACGACGACCAAAACAGAAACTAAGCAAGAACATTTTACAGTGGACCTTCGTAAAAAATAGTTGGAAGAAGAGCTTTTTAACAAATAGGCATCATTTGTGAAGGGAGAATGCCAAAAATTGACGCACTTTGCCATCAAAAGTGGGTGAATCAATTGGAAATGGGAGGTAGTATGAATTTGCGCAGTTTTTAAAAGAGGCTTAGGTTCGGAATTGGAATTTTTTCAGAATGAACGCAAAACTTGAAAGAAGTCAACGTCATTTAGTCTTTAGTGTCGTGGAGAATCGCCGACTTATTCAGCTGACGCATTGAAACATCCGATCATTCACAAATTTTTCATTAGGCTTCTCGATTTCCCCATTTCCAATTTTTATAATGTTTGAAGCCTGTTCAATATGCGAAATTTGAGAAAAAACACAAAATTCTTCCATTTTCTGAACGGATTCTTTCAAAATCTTTCAAAGTTCTCAGAATCGCCATTTTCGCTTCTCACATTTTTCAGAATGAACGAATTCACTCGAATCATTTCGTAAAATGTTAATTACCACTATCCGTCAAATCTGAGATTTGCATGTTCTGCCGTTTCTAGAAACTCATATGAGTAGAGTGCCGAGTCGACTCGAAAATCGATGATTTTTGTCAAATCGACACAGTCGACATTCAACAATTCGACAAGGCTATTTGTCGATGAAAATCGAACATTTCGTTGTCGATTTTTGTCGACTTTCAGTCAACGAAAGTCGACGAAAATCGATTCTTGTCGATTTTGCGTCGACGGAAATCGACAGAAAAATCGACAAAAGTCGACAAAAAATCGGCAAAAGTCGACGAAAAATCGACTTTTCCGGACTTCAAAGTAAAATGTCACCTCGAGAAAATTTTTTTCTAATTTTTTGAAGAAATCATTTTTTGTGTAGAGTAACAACTTTATTTTTATGAATAAAAAAACAAATAGTGTAAAACTTAATTTCAACGGGGTACAAAATAGAGAATCAGTATTCAGAAGATGGCAAGGAAATTAGAAGAAAATTCAAAGCGACAAAATTTTGAAAAAGAGAAGAAACAGAAGAACAAAGTTCAGCACTAGGAATTAATGTTTCATAATTTGGGCCAAATCGTTTCCAAAAGTATCATCGTTATGCTCTCTGGAATCCTAATATTCTACGCCTTCTGAGTCGTCATCATATCCGTTCTCTTCTGTTGTCGACATATTCTTCTTCGTAGATCTAAAGAAAAGTCAGATTTTGAGGAAAAATAAGCTCTAATATCTTACTCCAAAGGGGTTTTTTTTTCCAATTATTTGATGCCGTGGCTCTTCATGTACTATACTATCTTTATGTACTATCTAAGATTAAGAATTTAACAAAAAATATATAATTTGCTGCTTACCGATCTTTCCATTTCTTCAACTTCTTTTTCGTGGTGACTGTTTAAGTGCTGATGCATCGTTGTGGTCGAAGAATGGAACTTTATGCTCCTTCCGCACAGTTTACAGGTCACAGTTTGTCCGTTATTTTGTTTTTCGAAGTATCGCCACGCTCTAGATTGATTTTTTGACAAATTCATCTGCAATACGCAAAAATGTCATAAATGAAACAG